TTAAAGTGGCAAATTATAAATCATTTAAGGCTAACATTCCTTACACAAAGTTTTGAGGGATATGTTGAAAGCTCAAATTGACATGTTAATGATGATAAGGAATTTTGAAATATTTTACTAATCTTGAAAAGAAAGATATTTTCATGTAAGGCAGAGTTTCTTAACCTTGACACTATGGACATTTGGAGCCAGATGATTCTTTGTTGTGGAGGGCTGTGCTGTGCAGTCCGTAAGGCTGGGGAGCATCCCTAGCCTTTACCCTTAGATGCTCGTGTTACCTAGTTCAAGCTGGTGCTGCTCACCACACAACAGGCCAATACATCACGAGACAAGGTGTTGGGGGCAAGGAATAGTGATTTTATTCAAAAAGCCTACAGACAGAGAAGATAGCAGACTAGCATCCCAAAGAACCTTCTTCTCTGAGTTAGAATTCAGGCTTCTTTTATACTTAAAGGGAATATGGCTGGTTGTTGAAGACTTCTTGGTACTGGAATCCTTTGTTCTTGCAGCTGTCCATAGAGGGCCGGGCACAATGTTCCCGTAAAACTCCAATAAGACAATTGTTATTTTCTGTCCTGCAACTTTTTATCTCTATATGAATGAAAGAGTGTTAAATCTTTAAAGATCAAGCCCTGGAGGCAGAGTATTGTGGCAGGACCATCATTTGTATTTCAGGCCATAGGCAACATTCTCTTACAAAGGTGCGGAGACAGCGTGACTAAGCACAGGCCAAGGGCACGAAGGTTAAAGCTGAAAGAATAGTTCCAATATGGAGTCAGGTCTGTTCTTCTCTGCTATACTAGCAGCACTCACATTACTCCCAGCTGTGACAACCAAAACTGTCTCCAGACATAGCTAAGTGTCCTTTAGGGGGCAAAGTCGCCCTGAGTTTCAAACTACTGATCTAAAAAAAAATGTTGCCTCTTTCTGACTGGCTTATTTCACTAAGCATAGTACCCTCCAGGTCCACCCATGTTACAAATGGCAATACCACACCTTTATCCATTCATCTGTTGATGGACACTTAGGTTCCTTCCGTATCTTAGAAAGACAAATACTATATGCTATCACTTATATGTGGAATCTAAAAAATAAAATAAATGAATGAATATTACAAAACAGAAACAGACTCAAGGATGTAGAGAACAGACTAGTGATTACCAGGGGAGAGAAGGAAGGAAGGGGAGAGGGGCAAGATACAGGAAGGGGATTAAGAGGTACAAACTACTATGTATAAAATAAAAATGCTACAAGGACATATTGTACAGCACAGGGAACATAGCCAATATTTTATAATAACTTTAAATGGAATATTATCTATAAAAATTTTGAATAACTACATTATACACCTAAAACTAATATAATATTATAAATCACTTATATTGCAATAAAATAAATAAGTAAATAAATAAACAAATAAAAGACTGTTACCTTTATTCTCCAAAAAAGTTACTTTCACTTATTAGAAATATTTTCATATTCCTTTCAACGTTTTTAGATTTTTAAAAAGTGTGTTTTTTGGAGTTTAACTGAGCACCACTAATTTGGTATTGTCTACCCTGCTTTTCCTCAGTGAATCAGATTCTCTCATGCCTGAATTAGCCTGACCAATTTCATTAGCAATCTCATACCAGTTAATCCCATTAATTTGCCTCACTGTCAAAGAGTCCCCTATGGCCCATAGCTTCTAAATATGTCACATTTTCTCAAAGGAGTAGCTTGCACACTTGAGAAAGCTGGTTGAACACTTACAATACACTTGGAAGAAAAATGAATTTAGCATTCTCTGCCAAAGTATCAATACCTTTAATTTCTTTCTGAAAACTTTCCATCCTCTTCGGAGTGCTCATACTTTGGACTAATGAAGTCTTAATAGAAAATCTGTTGCATCAGAGAACAAAATACAACAATTTTAAGCCTTTCTTTTCCATCTAAAAATAGAATACACCAAAATAATATCATAGGCTTTATTATATGCAGATGTCACTATTAATATTTACAATGGGGTGCAGATAGAAAAAATAATTTACTTAAAATTCAGTAAGTAGTTTCCCAGAGATGTAAACCTTAAATTCTCTCTGAAAGGGTTTGCCTATCTCACCAGGTTGTGAGAACATAGTGTAATAATAGATACAAGAGGCTGAGAAAACCACAGAGCAAAGCACACTCTCTAGGAGGAGGAAGGAGATTATTGTCATGCAGAAGGTAAGATATACATAGTGAGGAGATATTGCTCTCTTTTAAGTCTTTCCACATTGTTTCATTATTATCATCACAATTATCATTAGCTTCAAAAAGTGTTTTTTAAGTTATCAAGCTCATAGATCCATATTTCCATTTATCATGGAAGCAAGCCCTAGATTAAGATAACCCTGGAAATGCATAAGAAGGAACGTTCTGAAGGGTGCTTGGTCCACATTACCCACTTCCAAATGTGAGATACTAGCACACATACATTTTCACTGAATTACTTCTTATTGCAAATAGAATAAACTATTGCTTTAACTGAGAATCATGATGTGATTTTTAGTCAATACTTATTTAAAGCAGAGTGAGTGGTATAGAGCAAACATCTCACTATATGTGTATAGTTCTCTCTTTACAGGAGACAAAACGGTTTCCAGAACGAGAAGGGGGAAAAGTCTATACACAGACACACAGACACAGACACAGACACAGACACAGACACAGACACACACACACACACACACGTACAATCTATGCAGATTACTCATGTTTACATTCTTTTCTCCTTCCACTCTTCATTATTTACTTACCACAAACATATTTTAATTACAGCATTAATTATTACAACATTATTTGTCATTTTGATCATTTGTACTTTACAATCAGTTTTTTCCCATCACACATTAACACTTTCTTTATTGAGGACAATGTGTGGAATAAGGATATTGCCTCATGGTCTCATTGTGAGGAACTCCTCTGTAGCACTCATGAGAGCTGGAGGTTAATGAGTATTCAGCGTTGAGTACTAAAACACATATCCCATTGCTGATGGTGCTGATCCTCGTGGCAAAATTTGCAATAACGTATCTTTAGCCAGTTGTTCATTTTCTTACTTTGGCTGAATTGCAGAAAAGATCACAGCAACAAGACTTACAGTTGCTCACAGACGATTGTTTATTTTCACGGTCAATAGGCTCCTTCAGCCAGCCTACTTCTTTTATAAACATCTTGTAACAAGTAGAAATGCTTATGAAAATGAATATATACACTCCAAGTAATTTGAAAGTGTGATATTAATCTTTAAATAGAAGAGAGCAATTTTGAAGATAATATATTTGTTTAGTATGTTACAGTTTCTAAAGTACCTGCACCATCATGTTCCCAAGTAATACTTGCAATAAGCCAGGAAAGTGCTATTATTTTTATTTTGAGAAATGAGACATCTGAGATAGGAGGGGTTAAGGTAGTTGCCCATGGTTACTGAGCTTTACATGTGGTAGGTTTTGTAATCAAGGTATTTTAGAATCTGTCCAATTCATTTTCCTCTGAAAAAGGTCTGATGCTAAGAGCTTGAAGAGGATGCAAATGAGAGGGGTACCAAGGGAGAAGAGAAGTGTATATAACCCTGTGGGTTCTCTTAGCCTGTTAAATGAAGGTAAGGTAGAAGGAGGTTTCAGACCTTTAAAAGGGGTATGATATGATTAATAGTAAAAAGCAAATGTCCTTGTCATTAAACAAAAAGGATGGCTTCAAAGTATTGCAAGATTGTTTCTTATAAGCGTTCTCCAGCAAAGTGGTAAAAGGACATTGGAACTCATTATCTGGAACAAATGTTGTCTTATCCTTTAAGATATTCCAGAAATGTCTAAATATCCCTCTAGGGATCTAGATGAAGTGTGGTTTGCCCAGATGTAAGGCACTGTCTGAGTCAATGTTTCTCAAATAATGGCCTATAAAACAGTGGAGTACAGAGTTGTGCAGGAATTATGCTACATTTTTCTTAATTATTACTAAAGCATTCAGAGTCATTATTGACAGATAAATGTCCTTTAAAAGAAAAAGTGAACCCTCTGTTTTTATTATATTGGGATTCACATCTTAAGACTTTATGATCTTACTGCTACCTCTTATTCTTTTAATGGACAATTACACTGTGTATTAATAGAGTTCTTTGAAAACAGACAGCTAAAGCTCTAAGGTAATTACCCACATTCCTCTCCTGTAACCTTGGCGCCTTTATTGAGTCTGAATCTTTCTGTCACTGCCAAGGGAAACTTGGGCAGAAAGAAAAGTGCAAAGGTACATCCTTAGGGTGACCTTTTACAGGAGGTGAGGAAACCAACTTAAGTACAACCCCAACTCTGAACCCAAGTCAATTCCTGAATCAAAGCAGGAATGAGATAAGAGGGGAATAGTTGACCGGTTCCACCAGTGACGGCAGTTCTCAGGCCAAATATCTCCATCCACATGTGCTGTATCAATTACTTTTCAGGACTGATAGACAAGTTGTAATTTGCTAGAAAGATCGAGATAATGGAAATTGAGGACCTTTATATTCATTCGAAAAACCTTTGCAGTTTGGAACACATCCTCTCCTTTTAAGTGCACCCATTTTTAGTTAGTATTTAACAAACACCCCCCCCTTCAAAACAGTACTATAAATATGATATCCAGAGGTAGATTTCTGTAAACATGAATGTCTGGGTCAAACTTCCCTTTATGACCTTCCCTATGATATCATTGCCTTAACTTCAAATCTTAAAATTCAAGTAAATAGATTCACTCTATATTGGCAAGAATGCCTCTGCGTGTGTTCAGTTATTATTCTAGTACTTCTAACCTATTGGCTGTCCTATACTTGGGGGTGCAAATTTCAATATATGCAAATGGAACTTCTTAGGGAACCTGCAGAATGGTAGGTCTCTGGGCATCCACAGTACCACAGGCTAACACGTTCTTAACAAAAGGTCTTAGGTGGTGATGATGATGGTGATAGTCAAATTCTTTTTTTGTTTGTTTCCTTTCTTTTACAGGATTATACACTCACCATGTATTTCCAGCAGTCTTGGAAAGACAAAAGGCTTTCTTATTCTGGAATCCCACTAAACCTCACACTAGACAATAGGGTGGCTGACCAACTCTGGGTACCAGATACCTACTTTCTGAATGACAAGAAATCATTTGTGCATGGGGTTACGGTGAAAAATCGAATGATCCGACTGCATCCTGATGGAACAGTTCTCTATGGACTCCGGTAAGCAGCTTTGTGTTGCATGTTTTATTGTTGTTGTTTGTGTTGTTGTTTAATTTTTTTACTTTTGGAAATGAGCAGAGGGGAGAGAGGCAAGTAGGTGAATAGTCTCCTTAATCTGTATAAGAAAATTATATTAAAGATCAGAAAATCTTAGAACAATTTAAGCTAAATGTAGACAACTTTTTCCATCAAAGGTAAGTGAATTATTTGCCCTGACCTTCAAATAATAAACAGAGGAATAAGAATGTATATCTTTGTTAGATTTCACACTGAGCTCATTCTAGAAGTTAATACCTTTTTTTCGCCAATTGTTTGATTACCTCAGAGCCACTCAGACTCATTTATAATGTGTTCTAGGTATTCAGTGTAGCTACTTCATTATGAAGTGGAATCGGGAAACAATATTTTGGAGAAATAGGAAGATACTGTGGGGCATCTTTGAGAAGATCCATAGTGATTTTATTCCTTTAAATTCTCTGTGTTTTCACTTTTACTTCTATGTATATGATCCACATTAAATTGATTTTTGTGTCTTTTATGAGTTAGGGGTTGAGGTTCAATTTTTTCCATACTGCTATCTAGTTATTCTAGCACTATTTATTGAAAAGACTTTGCTTTTTCCCATCAGATTATGTTGGTACCTTTGACTAGGTAAGTAGGGATCTATTTCTAGGTTCCATTCTGTTCCACTGTTCTTTTTGTCCATCCTTAGACAGTATCACACTATTTCAATCACCATAGCTATATGGTAAGCCATGAAGTCACATAATGCAAGTCCTTCAACTTCATATTTACTGCATAAGATTTCTTTTGAAATTCTAGGTCCTTTGACCCTCCCTATGACTTCTAGAATCAACTTGTTGATTTCTACCCCCCAAAAAAGCCTCCTGGAATTATAATTGCAATTGCATTGAATCTATATGCTGGTCTGGGGAGAAATGACATTTTAAAACTATCAAGTTTTCTAATCCATGAATATAATGTATCTTTATTTAGGTTATCTTTAATTTCTATCAGCCATGTTTTGCATAATAGTACATTTTGGTTTGTTTATTTTTGAAGAATCAAATATAAAAGAAGTATTACATATTGACAGAGATCTGTTATTAACCTTCATGCAGTTAAGGGTTTATTAAAACTTTTAGGCTACAATTTAAGTCATCTTACAGTTTTACCAAAGGAATATTTAAATTGTGACATGTTATTGTAGAACATGTAGAGTGGTGGTTCTTTAACCTTTGTTGTCACCTTTTGTGATCCCTTTGAGAAGCTGATGAAATTTTCCTATCATTTTAGAGTGTTCATTAGCCCCCTGAAATCCTTATATAGCATCAGTGCCAAGCTAAAACTGTAGTTAAGGGCCAAAAGTCTACAATTAATGTGCGTCCAATATCCAAAAACAATATACAAGTGAAGAGAATGTATCTATGATAAAACTTTTGAATGTAACCTAATGGTGGGTTACATAGTTGATAGCTTTGGTCTTCATTTGCACAGTAAAATAGCATCAGTTGATCTTGGCAAAATGATCTTTGGAATTTTCCCATTCTTTCAGTACCCTAGGAGTTTCAGCTCTAGCTAAATATCTCTGACCTAAAATCCTCTCAGAAAACTGGTGAATAAACTAACAATTCCCTTGAGTGTGCTGATACCACAATAGACAAAAATCTACCAATTCAAGAGCCATGGTGATCATTAGTGATGGTTCAGACACTGGAAATCAATTGTAATTTTTTAACTACCTATGTATCTTCTATTATATATAACTAAAGTATGAAGTGATGAAATCTCTTTCTAAAGTATGCTGGGAGAATAATACTATGACCCAACTTTGTAGATTGATCAACCACAACATGTATATTCACTGTAAGTGATTAATCAAGAGTGTATGAAAGGTTATTTTGTTTTAAAAAAAAAAAAGGAGTAGCTTTTTTGCAAGCAAAAATGTGGGTTGCACTCTCAGCTTACAGAGTCTCAGTCCAGGCAGTTTCTAAATGATTGGCAGTCTCTACCAATGGTAGTGCTGCACAGGAAGAAACATATTTGAGAACCATAAAGTTGAACACACTTCATTTTAAACTGAGAAAACTAAGGCACAAAGAGGGCAAGGGTCTGATCCAAGGGCACACAAGATAATGACAGAATTAGGACTAAAATCCAGGTATCCTGATGCCCATACCTGTGCTTTTCTCACCCCACTGTCTTTCAAATACTCTTAGAAGTCAGCACTTTCTTCCTAGTTGATAACATTGCTTTCACTCTTTGGAGCCAACCCAGGTCTTCGTAGCTAGGAGCCTTCCAACAGATCTCCCAAAGGAAAACACAAATCCTTCATCTGTTATCTGGACTCTGATCTCTTTCTAGCCGCAGCTTTCTCCATGAGAGCCTCACATTAGTTCTGGTATCTTTCCTCTCCTTCCCTGCCTTCCTCTCTATCTTGTCCCTCACAGCTTTAGTTTTCTTTTCCCTAGAGGTTATAAGTATCCTGGAGAAACCATAAAGTATCACAAAAAAAGCATGACGTCTGAATTCAGAGCACCAAAATTGGGCTCAAACCACCACCATTTTCTGATTGCTTGACCTTGAACAAGTGATATAAATTTACTGAAACTTACTTAGTTTTATCATCTGCAATAATGGGCTAATAACCCCTGATTCAGTATTGGGGAGTTCTTAAGAAATAATGAATATGTTAATACATGATAAATACTAAATTATATTTTTCTAAAGTTATTTGCCTGAGATAGCCTTATTAAGTATCAAAATAACTGTGTGCTGAGGGTGGTTCTCTAACTCCCAGGGGTGTCCGTGACCAGAACAGAGACACTGCTGCCCAACTGAGAAAACATTCATTGAGTGCCTATTATGTACAATACACCCTGGGAATAATTCTCCAGAAGTCTGATAGAAATTTGTCACGTGGCGAGTGGAAGCACCTGAGACTTTGAGTCAAAGAGACTTGTGGTCTGACTAGGTTTTGCCCTTTCCTCTCTCTGGACTTCAGATTTCTCAATCTGAAAGAGAAAGGAGTTGGACAAAATCATCCCTAAATTCTCCTGCAAACCTAAATTTCGCTGCTTCTACGATCCTATATTATGGCTTGTTCATTTTAGGTCCTCTGCGATAACATTTCCTAGGCTTAGAAAGGACAATCTGCACTTTTTTTGTAAATTGCCTTTTCCGGAGTAACTGCCATCTATTGCTTCCTAAGCACATGCACTAGAAAGTCCTTGTAGTATAACATAGATATTTACATATTTATGGCTGCACTTACTGTAGAGAATGAAAGTTCTTCACTTATCCATAATTCCAGCTAATAGTCATCATGAAATGAGACCATGCATTAATGAATTGTTTTTAGCAATGATGGGATCAGTGGGATTTTCTGAATGCAATTGAAAGCATTTTTCCCCCCATGGATGCAGAAAAAATTATTTTATTTTATTTTATTTTTATTGAAGTGTAGATGATTTACAATGTTAGTCACCTGAAAACCTTTTTAACCAGGAACTCCATAATCATGACACCATATCATTTAACTGAATCAAATTTTTGCTACATTAAATTTCAGTAGGAGGTGCTATAACTTGGCTCATATAAAGCCACAAGAATAGAGTTAGTCATTTTTTATTTTTGTGAACTGTGTCAAAATCATATTTTACACCTCAGGGATGGCGCACAGCTGTGTAAACACCCTAAAAGAAGAGAGTGGTGTCTGATGGGGGCCTGGTACTTCTAGAAGAGCCAGGCTACTGTGCAACAGGCATTCAGCACATAGAAGAGACTGTAATCCACTGGGTTCTTACTCTTGAATTACCTTCGCTGCCACAAAATGCGTTACACCAGGGAATTATCCTGCAATCACTATTAGATAGATAAAGGATGGATGTCTGTGATGTGGTGTAAGATGTGGCAGGAGACAGGACTTATGTTGGTGGTCTATGAACCCTCCACCTTGATCCTGTCAAGGGACATAATGTCATTTCCTTTCTTACTCAGAAGTGGAGACTATCGACTCCCTCAGTGTCACACATCAAATCCTTAAAATTCTTCTGTCTTTCTTCCCCTCCTTCCATATAACTCTGAGAGAAGTTTTCATCTTCTTTCTAAGGCTAATCTCGCCATGTATGCATTTAATCTTATTGCTGGACACTCTTCTGATTTTGCTCCCTTCTTTTATCAAATCTTCAGTCTTCCCTCTGCTGACTCCTCTACGATTTTCTCTTCAAGCACGAGTCCTTGAAGAGCTTTGGTTTCCATTATTTCCTCATTTACTCCTTCATCTCCGAAAGCACAACTCCCACCCATGCTTCTTTCCTAAAGCAACTCTGTCAAAAATCACCAGAACCATTGCTGGTAGTCAGTCTATACTCTTGACTTCTCTGAATGATTTAAGAGTGGTGATTGACTTTGACTTCAGGATTTCCAAGATTCACACAATTTACTCATTATTCTCATTCTTCTGTCTTTTTGTTATTCTAGCACTGTTTCCTCTTTTGCTCTAATTGTGAACAAGAGGGATTCCTTGTGGTTTAAATAACTCATTGAATTTAACAGCTTAAGTATCTAAAATATGAAGTCATTGAGTTCAGAAAAATATTTGTAATTGCTTACTGAGCATCTATATTGGATGTCTGACTGCCAGTTATTCCTGACTTGAACCCCGTTTCGTGTTATCTGTTTCTCCTAAAATCAGGTCTTCCTCCTTACACACCTGCTAACAAAATCATCCTCCTCCCAGTCAATAGGCATAAACTTGTAAGCATCTTTGTATTTCATTTGTCCCAAGATTCAGTCTGTTGCTTTTGCTTGAACATCTCCATTTCCAAATCACTTCCATCACCTCAGTTAATATCCCTAGTATCTTTCACTTCCTGGCCAGTTTCCTGTCTTAATTTTACCTGTTCTCATCCCTGCCATTATATTCTTCCTATAGTGCATATCAGGTCATATCAATCCCACACTAAAAAAAAAAAAAAAGCAAAGACAAAAAAAAATTA